GACTGCCCATAGAATCAATAGCGGATGCGTTGCCTACCCTTAATCGACAGAGGAAACGCACATAAAATGGATGTTTCTCCTTGATGCGTCTCCTCCACCGTCGAATCCACGTTCCTTTTCCATCCTTATTTATAAGAAAGAGAAAGAAAGATTATACTTTACAACTTTCTATTTATTTCACTCAGTCGTATTTATTGATTTTTAAATTACTTTTAAGCTACTTTAAAATTCCTATTTTCATCAAGATTTGTTAATTAGATACTTTAGTTTGCATAAGTTATTATAGTGTGTCTAAATAATTTAGATTAGTTTGATAAATGACGCATATGAAGTATCGAATTCAATTTATATCATACAAATGTCATACTTAATAGACAGGTCTCTTAGTGACGAAACAAACACACATAGCGAATAATTTTGAACTATCGATATTCGGTTTAAATAATTATCAAACTCAACTAAAATTTTTATTTACTTATTTACTAATTTAGAGGACAATTCTAGTATTGATTATTGCGTAGAGAATTTAGCGATGACAGAAATAATAGCAAAATCCAATTCTATTACGTACGGCTGTAGTAATAGACATTTATTTACTCTCACTAATTGTTATGGTCATTATTAATTTGAGAAAACAGTCTTTTTCTAAATTCATAAGTTATAACTATAAATCTATCGATTCAAACTTCTATAACAAAAGTTGAAAATCGATAAGATTCATGACAGATTGCACACAACCCATCCCTACTAAATTTGAAATGAATTGTCAAACTAATCTAGAAAGTATAGGATACTGAAACCTGTCTTAAAAATATCATAACCAATAGCAGAAACTCAAACGAACTCACAAAGTGAAGTTCGATCGACATTCCATTTCGCACTTTTGACTATTTGATATAATTATTTAAAACAGGTAAATTAAGGTTTTTTTTAGTGTGGACTGTACAAGAAATAAAACATTTTTGATGAAACAAGACTTTTATTTATAACTAGCTGTTCCCGTGCGGTTTCCTCTGCCTTGAATTCTAGAAAAAAAATATTTTATTGTGTAAACGTCAAAATTCAAATGCACAAATGACAGCGAAGCCCTTTGACGTTGGATAACAATTACCGTTACCATAGCAACCTTAAGTGATGTCAGCTTGTAGTTTTTGTTCCCTTTCCCACATGAAGATTATTTTTCAATTTATTTGTCCCTTAAGTTTAATAGCGTGAAAATTATAGCCTAAAGCGTGTCGTAAGTGTAGGGCTTTTTATTAAAGAAAGAATTATTCAAAAATATGCTGTGATTGCTGACATCTTACGCCACATTCGCTTTATTTATTATTTTAGTATAGAAGTAATGTAATCGTATATTAAAATAATGATCGTATATTAAAATAATGAATGTCCCACGGTAACCGTAACTATTTCCGGGATGAAAAGTAGCCTATGTGTTCTTCCAGACTACGCTATAACCCTGTGTCAAATTTCATGGAGATCCGTTCAGCCGTTTAGGCTACAAACTAAACAAACATCCATCTAAACTTTTGCATTTATGTTAGTAAGATTAGTAAGATGGTTTTAACAACTGGAACCGATGTTACAAAACATTTATTGGGAATGATTTGCCTTTGCGAATTCGACTTCAGTTTAGCCAAGCCCTTTTTTTTTAATTTTTATTTGTACGTTTAGCAACTTTATTGGCTGTATACGTTTAAGTGGAAAAAAGAAAATAATAGTTATAAGTTATAAGTTAAAAACGTAAAACTATTTTTTTTCTGTTAAAACTTTTAATGAAAAGTAAATGTGAGAGTTCTAGGGTTTTTATAGATACTTTAAATAAAAGAATTTAATATTTTTCAATACATTTATTATTATTTAACAATGTTCACATTGTAAATTACAATTTAAGACTTGTCCGCAATGTCCTTGAGGACTTTCTCTACTTTCTCTTCCAAATCTGAAAAAAGAAAATGTAGATTTAGTTAAAATTTTAAAACAATTTGTAATATTCCTCCTTGGTATATTTTGCTTCATTCTTCTCGACTTTATAGTATTACTAACTTTCGCCCGTGACTTCGTCTGCGTGGAATTAATAAAGCAGTGAGTAGCCTATGTGTTCTCCCAGAGTTTCCTCCACATCTATACCGAATTATATCGAAATTCATTCAGCAGTAACAAATATCCATCCATCTAAACTTTCGCATTTATAATATTAGTAAGATTTGTTCAATTACATTGATATTACGTACCTTTCAATGCTTTCTCTACTTCATCTGTCAATTTTCCAGCAGCTGAAATAAATTAATAATACTTTTAATGATAAACGAATTCAATAATGATTTTACAACCAGCTCCTCTAGACAAAGTGACTCGATTAGCGATGTCGCTTGCAGAATCGTCAAAATGCATAGAATGAATACGTGACAAGCACGCGACTTAACCCTTAAATGCATGATTTTTTATTTAATTATAAAATCAATATTTCGGTATAGGCTTTGAGTCACAGATTAAGGTAAAAATAATAAAAAAAAGTCATGGTTTCATTAAAAACTATAATTTTGTTCGTAGACTTTTGGCAACAATATGCATTTAAGGGTTAACACATGTTATTGTGAATTCCATACATTTTAGACTTTTCGATCAACGTAAGCGATAATCGAATTTAACTTTGTCTAAAGGGGGCAGTTCTCTATTTTATAAGATCAAAGGTTTATACAACAATACCCAATTATTACGTGTTTGTTTTAATTCGTAATCCATTGGACGCTATTGCCATGGCAACGGTTAATTATTGTTTAATTAATTCTTTTATGGTGTAGTACTTACCAGCAATCGCCGCTCTGACTTCTTTGATAGCGGCCTTTGCGTCCTCTATTTAAAGAAAAAAAAATAATTTAAATAAAACATACAGATGTTTTGAGTAATTCCTTCTTTTGGAAAGTCGGTCAAAAAGGTTATTGCCATAATAGTAACTCATTAAAAGAAATATATTACCTGCAGCTTTAGAAGCGAGCTTCTTAGCTGTGAAATTAAAATAAAACAATTACAACAAAATTACTTATTACAAATTAATAGCTTACAAATAAACGATGTATAAAAAACTAAATAGTAAACTAGTCAGTTTATATTCATAAACAACATTTGTACTAGAACTCGAAGTGTTATGACTTATACTCGGTAAAATTCAACACTGTAACATATCAGGTTCAACCAGACATTTAAAAAATGTACAGTCTAGATAGGGAACATTTTTCACCGCTAACTTTTTGAAAGGTACCATGTTGTCAAGTTTAGTTCCACCTCTAGTCTTGTAATGACGTTAAAAGAACATTTTACAAAACTATAATAAGCTCCATCTTTTGTTGTAAAATAAACTAAATAGTGTCAGAAAAATGTAAACATTAAAATATGATTTAGTGACATCTATTGACAAAATTTAGATACAACATTGACATTTGTTTTGAGAACCTAGTAATAGATGGCGTTAGTGGATGAAAAATGTCAACTGAACTATCAATATGCTTCCCCTGAAAAATTATTCAATGTCTGGGTTTAATGAACATAGTTTTATCTGAGAAGTTCAAATGTTCAGTTAGAACTGATCCTTTAAAATAAGTTACTAACCAGCCTTCTCTATCTTGTCCTTAGCATCTTCAAGAGTCTTTTCTGTAAATAAAAATATATACAAATGTACAATTCTGTTAAAAAAGACTTGTAGTCTTGTTAAGTTTGATAGCTAACTTACCAATTTTCTTAGCCAATTCCTCAAGTTTCTTTACAATGTCGGCTGAAAATAAAGAAAATTTAATATACCCGATTTTTTATTCATAGACAAACTATAATTAAGACTAGAAGTAGTAAATTCCAACATTTAAAATGTTTTATTTAATTTAATGACTCGATTTGATTTTGTCTTTAATTATTATTTAGGGCCTATCGCACTAAAATTGTAAATTGATAAAAATCGAACGTGTAAAATATGTGATGGAAATATCGGATTGTGTCCCCTTATTTGACAGTGGCGTCATTTTAAGCTGAGCCTCTATCAGGCAGTGGCGGACAGGTCCTTAGTTTTTAAAACTTACTCGTGTCACGTTTCTTGGACCCGTGGGCAGCTGTTGCTTGTGCGGGGCTGAAGGCTGCGCAGGCCATCTAAGAAAACAATTTAAATTTTAGGTTACTATTTTATAAGAGCGCCATCTATTGGTGCAAAAAAACAATTTTGTGTTTACAAGAGAAATATTTAAATTTATGCTAAAATTTGTAATTCAAGAAAATAAATTATTGTATCATTAAGTCTTTTGCATTATAATAATTATAAAGTAAGAAAAAACTTACCAACACAACAACGGCAGCGACAATCAAGTTAAGTTTCGACATTTTAACTAATTGGAATTTATTTATTTTAATAAATAAAGTTGTAGCGAATGCTTTGAAACACTTCAACTGTTAAAACTATACTTTTGATTGAAATATTTTCTGTATTTATATAAAAATAAAGTCATTAAAACTGATATAAAAAATACGTAAATCACGACAAAACTGTATCAAATCAAAATCGTGACCATTAAAAAAAAATGATGGAGACGACGAGTCAATGGGGACATAAACCACAAAGTATTAAGAATAAATGTGGATGGCTACAAAGGAAGAGGAAGACTGAAGAAAGTATGGATTGTGTGAGGATATGCTTAAGAAAGGAGTGGATTCAGATATGGCTGATAGAGATGTATGGAAGAGCACATACTGTGCCGACCCGATAAGGGATAAGGGCAAGTAGATGATAAGCATTAAAAAAATCTATACTTACTATGAATAAAACTAATTGTTCCTTCGGCTTCGAGATAGTTTGTTTGTCAGTTGGAATAACAAAAAACTCTACCTTACTACCTTCATAATCGGTGGAGTAATTTAGATTATTCAAAACAAACGCGAACTTACATAGAAATAATTTAATAATACCGACATTCCAATTTCATTTATACATATTATTCATTATACTAGTGGTTGTTAAAAATGACAAAATTGTGAGTTATTATTATTTACGTAGGAGCCATATTCTTGATATTCTATAACTGTGCTGTACAAAACGGGTTCGTGCGCGGCACAACCTACCCTTAGACTACGCATGAAGGGCATAATTAAAAAGGGGATGATGGAGGAGGTACTTACCCTTGCCGTTACCCTGCAGGTACCTGGTCGTTCGGTGTCAATCGAGTCAAGTCTGACACCAGTAATTCTGCCTTGTGCATCGTTATTAAACGCGAAACCGAAAAAAGAAACCCCATTTGCTAATAAACCTAATGTCGGACAAGTAGCCACTTCCTATGAACTTTGAACTTGAACTAACAGACTCGCTTTGCTTGCACACGACCCTCTCTCAACTCTCCGCAGCTCCGCGCTAGAGAGCGTATCTACCCACTTGGAGAATAAAATTGCCGGTTACCCGCATTAACGCGACTCGAGAAATTCAAACTATATGTTTTAAAATATACAGAAATTGTTTAATTTGAATTGTTTTATTTATAACATCCATACAATAAATTACATTAGTTATAATAAAATATTTATGTTTACAAAAATGTTGTTACTGTTCATTTGAATCTTTTTTGTCTGGATCCTTGTCATTTGGTTTTTTGTCGTCATCGCATTTAGGTTGAGGTGTCGTCGTACATTTTGATTTACCCAATAAACCTGTTTAAACAAGAAAAAATACTTATCTATATTATAAATGCAACATTTTAGATGGATGATTGTTAGTTTGTAGCCTAAACGGCTGAACGGATCTCGATGAAATTTGGTACAGATGTAGAGGATAGTCTGGAAGAACACATAGGTTACTCACTTTTGTTTTTTTTTATAATACTACTATATTATTTATGTCCCTTACGACACAAGATTGGTCTAGTATATATGTGGATGTTGGTAGTTTCGGAAAACGATTTGACAAGTAAGAGATAATGTATGATAGGACAGTGTAGTTATAAATATAATAATTTACTTTTGAAGTAAATTATTATATTTTTGTTTACTACCCAGTGAATCATTATTATAAGGTGGACATATGTTTAACAGTGGTAGTGCCCGCTTTAACATCTTAGCACTGTAAGGCCGGCACGCCCCCATTATTACCACGACCACACAGAAGACAGGCGTGAAATGGAAGCAATACCGTGTTTTGTCTGATGAGTGTGGTGCTAGAGGCCTAATTTAAGTCCCGTTCTTTTTACCACCCTTTTCTTATGAGAGGATGGGAAGGGGATGTGGATTTGACGATGGAGGAGATGCATAGGAAGAGGAAATATCCTCTTTATGTGGGTCTCTTCCTCCGTCGGATAAGGGTAGGCGACGCATCTGCATTTGTAGATGTCTATGGGCAGCGGTCGCTTCGCCATTTTGGCGGATTCAGGTGGCCGCTTACTCGTTTGCCATCTTATGTTATAAAAAAAAATATGTTTTAACAGAGTAAAAATATTTCGTAGTTCGGAAAGTCGTCATGAAATCGAACCAAAAACACTAACCAACAGTTAACGTAATTGGGAAACCGCCTATTAGACATGTGCGAACAAAGATTATACCATTTACCTTCTAAAAGTGCGGACACCGTAGGAGCTGAAACAAACAATTTAACGTTACAATTGACTAGCTGTTGCTCGCGACTTCGTCCGCGTAGTAAATGTAGTCTATGTTATTCACAGATAAATTACCTTTCTAATGGTAAAGGAATTTTTAAAATCAGCCTAACAGTTTTTGCGTGAATCAAATACATACTAAAATCCAAAAATACAATTTTTTCCACTTAATAATAGTATAGATGACATAATTACATGATTGATTGAAAATAAAACTTCTAGGTTATGTTTTATCTACTTACTTACTAATATTATAAAGACGAAAGATTTGTATGTATTGAAATAACTCAAAAACTACTGGGCCGATTTTAAAAATTCTTTCACCATTACAGAGGTAATTTATCTGTGAGTAACATAGGCTACATTTTGTATTATTTTCAAAATTTTACGCGGGCGAAGTCGCAAATAACGTTTTTATTATATAAACTTTCTCCGAAAATAAAAATTTAAAAAATAAAAAATAAAAATTTCTCCGAAAATAAAACTATAATTATTTCAAAAATAAACTCACCTGGCTTTGAATGAACGATAACGAAAGTCTGAAAAAAGAATTAGTTCTTTTAACAATAATACATTTTTGTAGTATTAATACGAAATAGATATTTTCGATGTTTTCTAGTATTTGTTAATGTTGTAATGTTTCGAATAGATTGATTGATTATTATTATTAACACTCATATATCTTTATTTATATATAATACATTTGACAAGATTTGATATAAAAATAAAATAAAATGTATTATATAAAAAATAGAGCACCACCGGCTGCGGAATCCGATGACTCAAGCAACCAGTGGTCAGGACAGACAGGAACCTCCTCACTATGCGTGCGGTTTCTAAAATAACCGCCTTTTGAATGGGACCCTTAATCCAACTGTCTAGCGAGAACTTGAGGTGTTGGTCGAAGCTCTTCGCTAACCCGTGTACCGAAACGACTATCGGAATAATGGTAGTCGATTTCATACGCCACGTGGCGGTAACCTCGTGAGCCAAATCCAAATATTTTAATAGTTTTTCATTTTCGGCTTTCACGAGATTCTCGTCATGTGGGATAGTGATATCGACTAACATTACACAACTCTCAGACCGATCTATTATTACTAAATCAGGTCTATTGGCAGCAATAGTCCTGTCCGTAATAATAGATCGATCCCAGTAGAGCGTGATACGGCTATTTTCCAGAACTGGTGAAGCTATTATTAATAATAATTATAATTAAAATAATAACTTACTATTAAAATGAATACAAGAAACATTTTCTTCATCTTTTCTGTTAGTTGAAGTTAAATTTTTCATATAAAACATAAGTAAAAGCCTTTTATATACAAATAATACAATTGAACAAACAGATGTACAAACATTCAATTATATTAAAGTTCGATTATTGTTTAAAAAAATGTAAATATTTGTTATATTTGTTAAATGAATCTTCACTTGGCTTACATTTTAAACCAGCTGTTGACCGCGACTTCGACCTTTGAATTGTACATATAATAAAACTAGCTATCGACCGCGACTCCGTCCGCGTGGAATTAAAAAAAAATAAAGTAAGTAGCCTATGTGTTCTTCCAGACTATCCTCTATATCTATACCAAATTTCATCGCGATCCGTTCAGCTGTTTAGACTACAAACTCTAACTAACATCCATCCATCCATCTAAACTTTCACATCTTACTAATATTTTAAATGCGAAAGTTTAGATGGATGGATGGATGGATGGATGGATGGATGGATGGATAGATGGATGGATGGATGGATGTTTGTTAGCGTTTGTAGCCTAAACGGCTGAACGGATCTCCATGAAATTTGACACAGGGTTATAGCGTAGTCTGGAAGAACACATAGGCTACTTTTATCCTGGGAATAGTTACGGTTCCCGTGGGATTCATTAATTTAGTTTTATAATGTTTATTCGATTATTCTGCAACGGTTCAAAATATATTATTGAAATTTGTCACAGATATAAAACAAAGTGTGGAGTACACATGGGATAAGGTTCATCCCCGAGAAATGTCTAGTTCCTGAGGGATACGAAGCGTTTTGTGATTTATATAGTAAGTATGTTTTCTAATACCACGCGGACGAAGTTGCGGGCAACAGCTCGTTTATAAAATTAGTATGATTGGAGTGTCTGTTTGTAATATCAAAAGAAATATTCCAGATTTCGAGGTGTATTTGCGTTGCTGATAACGAAAATCGCATTTCAAAAATGTTTGTCTGTATGTCCGCAAGCCGCGTTTGTTCCGGGTAATCTCCGAAACGGCTGGGCCGATTTCGTCCGGACCTTCACTGAAGGGTAGCTGACATAGACGGCCATATTATAGACTACTTTTTTATCTTAATATTGCGTGGACGTATGCAACAATGAGTCGCGGGCAGCAGCTAATATAAATAATAATTATTATTATGTTTGTCTGCGTAACCTTGCTTATTATTTAATTGGTTAAAGGGTTAACTATTCTTTTAACGCATCAATAGTTGTTTGTTCAACTGCAGTGAACTGCTTTGTTAATTATTAGTATAAAACGTTTGAATAATACTGAGTTACCAAGTAGCAAATTACCCTTTGCAAAATGTGGCAACCCGTAGTTGTTCTACTGTTAATGGTGAGATTAAATTTTAATTAAATTATACTTATAATCATCATAACCAACTCACTAAACATCCCCACTAAGGGGGAGCCTTTTTTTGCCCCAGGGGAATACTTAATACGTCCCCAGTTATGTGGGATTCTCCTCTTGCGAGGCATACCTACTGAACCCCTCGGTTCCTCCAACGCATTGCCTGGGGCCACGAGCACGCTTAGCTATAGGGGGGGGGGAGCCTACTCTACATTCTCTTAATGCGTTTGCTCTCCACTAATTCGCCAAATTCTAGTTCACTTCAACGTAAGTACTTCCACTTCAGATCTGTCTGTAGGGTCTGTCTACAGAGGGTCCGCAGAGTGTATGCTCCTTTCATACATCTCTATCAGCAGTCATATCTGAATCCACTGCTTAAGCATATCCTTTTTCATACAATCCATCCATAGTTACTTCGGTCTTGTTCTTCTTAACTTAGCCTAACATAATACTTAACCTCGTAATTAAAACTTGTCATCTCCTAATGTTTGTTTTCATAAAGTAATATTATTTTCAGACTTCTCTAAACATCGTTCACTCAAATGATATCTGTGAGAGTTACGAAGACCTCGAAGAAGAATTTGGTTATTCATCAAGTAGCTCTAAAAGCGAATCCTCAAGTTTCTCTACAAGCGAAAATGATGCTTACGAACAAAGCTACTCTGGAGGGGACTTAGGCAGTTCAGCAAATAGCTATTCAAGTTCCCAAAGTAACAGTTTCTCAAGCCAGAGTAGTCAATCAGAACAGTATTCTGAGAGCCAAAACTATAAACATGCAAGGAATATTGGTACAGGATCTAGTTATTTAAACATAGGCTACACTAATCCAACCGGAAGTAGGTTAGGTATTTTTGCAGGTAAATCTGAAAGTGACACTGAAAGTACTGAAGATAATGGAACATACGGGGGAAGCAGCTCAGGAAGTGGCTCATCTGGCTCCGCTAGTACTAACAAGGGTAACTCGAAAGCTGCCAGCAATTCAGACAGCTACTCTAGTTCTTACGTCTCAAGCAACAAAGGTCGCAATTACGCAGGCAGCTATTCTGGCGGCAACTCTAAAGGTACTGCAAGTTCAGATAAGGGCGGGGCTAATGCAGAAAGTGATTCAGACAGCTACTCCGGCAGTTATGCGGAAACCGGAGATAAGGGCAGTAGCGCGGGAAGCAGCTCAGGAAGTAGCTCATCCGGCTCCGCTAGTACTAACAAGGGTAACTCGAAAGCTGCCAGCAATTCAGACAGCTACTCTAGTTCTTACGTCTCAAGCAACAAAGGTAGCCATTACGCGGCAAGTAAATCTGCAAGTTCTTCAAATTCTTATAGTCAGTCTGATAATTTTGCTCATGTTAAAAAGGGCAAGCATAGTAAACGTAGGTCAAGGGGTAAAGGTCATTGTAAACACCATAAAGGGTATAAACGGCGCCACAATAAAGCGGTTAGCAAGTCTTCAAGCAAGTCTCAAGTACATTCCAAGGGAAATAAGAAAGGGTCACACAAAGGTCATTGTTAAATGCATGTATTTGATTTGTTAACAAATCTGTTCTATTATTTTTTAAGTATATTTTAGACCTGCATTTAGTAAACACTAGATATGTCATTTGATTTAATTTTTTTTTTCATTAGAACGGTATCTTGTAAAGTTTACACTTGTTGATTAAATTATCGAAAAAGTAAGTACTTAGTTATGTTTTCTTTATTGTATTAGTACTTTGCTGTTATCAATATTATTCCTGTATTTTTGGTCAATAAAAATTATTTGTATATAAAACGTTTTCATTTAATTATTTACTTAACTAGTTCTTAAAACAACACGGAATTTTTGACAGACTTCCAAAAAGAAGGAGGTACTCAATTCGTCTTTTTTTTTTTATTTGGCATATTTGGAGATTTTGAAAAAAAGCCCTACATTTGCGTCACGCTTTAGCCTATATATTTTAACGCCATTAAACTTAGGGGGTAAACATTATGGATAAAAATCCTAATGTGGGAAAGAGACCATAAGTTGCTGCCAACATCAAGAAAGCAAGATTGCCAAGGTTGTCATGTCATGTCATGTTGACATTTGTAATTAATAATTTGACAAATGTAAATAAAATAAAATTTTCATAATTTCATGCGGATGAAGTCGCACGGGAACAGCTAATTAGCATATATTAACATACACTACTCGATGTCTACTTGTGCAACTAAACAGTTGAATTGGCTGACAAACAATCGACAATCGCACATTATCTGTTTCAAGCCTATGTTAATAAATTAGGAAATAAACCATTTACAGCAAAGTGTTCGCTAACTGATCAGTTTAGCTTGAAACATCAAAGATCTCACTTGTATTGATGCCGTTAAACAAATTACTTTGATATTTTCGTTCATGTTCCAGTGTGACCATACACAAACTAATCGTAGGACAGTCTTATTTATTTGGTCTGTCCTTATTCATTTTTTAATTACGAGTTTCCGTTTTTCAAATCTGTTTAATTAATGGTGAACTAAAGTTTCCATTTATTTTATCACTAGCTTTCGCCAGCGATTCCGTCTACGTGGAATTAAAAAAAAAGATAAGTGAGTAGGTTATGTGTTCTTCCAGACTATCCTCTAAATCTATACAAAATGCAAAAGTTGAGATGGATGGATGTTTGTAAAAGTTTGTAGCCTACAAGGCGGAACGGATCTCGATAAAATTTGGCATAGATGTAGAGCACAGTCTGGAAGAACACGTGGGCTACTTGCTTTTGTTTTTTTTTCAAGCGGACGGAGTCACGGGCGAAAGCTAATAATAAAGTTCATTCATAAAAATATACTAACTAGCCTATGTGATCTTCCAGATAATGTTCTACATCTCTGTTAAATTTCATCCAGGTTCATAAACATCCATCCATTTTCATTATAATAAAAGTATGATTTTTTCCAATATCCAGGAATATCCTCGTAAATCTTTTTAGCATGGTGTCAGTACAAGTCGCGAGCCATCCTCAACACATGGCCCTGCGTCTGGTTCTAACGGAAACTCGTAATAAACTCACCGAATTAGATATACAACCTGCGCACACGGACAGAAATAGATACACTGTTTTTATATATGGAGTAAGGAGCGGCAGCATATAAATTAACTTACCTAAATTGTGGGCGTGCGTTTGTCGGAGATAATGAAATAACAATCGCGTAATATCAGAAACACATTCCTTCAATCGTTGGTGAAAACTGCATAACACTATTTAACCGGATTGCAAAGATTTACAGAGATTACTCGATTGACTTTGTACACAACCAAAGGGCATCATTCCACCATTTAATGACAACTGTCATCTGTCATTCGTGCCTTGACATCATGCGATGCACATTCAGCCAGTACTCAAAATTATTAACGGCCAGTTATTTTAATCGTTCAAATATTACAAACATTTACTTCTAGATTTATTTAAAGTAGAAAATCTTTTTTTTTTTATTTAGTTGTCAAATGATAGAAGGATCTTTACAATAAAACGAAAACATTACTTTTAAATATTCATTTCTTGCATATTTTATTTACAATAATAATTATTTTATTAAATGTTACAATATCAGTTTTTGGCGCCAATAACACGAAATATGCATTTTTAAATTATATTAATATACAGTTCTTACTTTGGTTAAAATAAATTATTGGCGCCATATTTTTTGACACTTGACGTTTAGATAAATTTTAACACTGACCTCTACAAATGGGCAAACTATAGTTTTGTTCGTTTGATTTTCGCCATTTCAGCGCTGATTGTTGCGGTTTCTCGCGATCTCTTAACAAATATAATTAAACCGAAGGGCTCTAACAGTTTAAATTAATAATATTGATAGATTTAACTGTAATTAACATCAAATAAAGAGTTCAAATCGAAATTTTAGGAAAGGGAAATGTCCTCTTTATGTGCATCTTCTCCGTCAATTAGGGTAGGTAACGCATCTGCAATTGCGGGTGTTTATAAGCAGCTCGCTTTCCATTTCAGTGGATTCAGGTGACCGCTTGCTCATTTGCCACCTCATATAATAAAAAAAAATTAAGCAAAACTGGTCATTTCCAAATAATCGCCAATCTATTTATATATATCTATGCTTTTTAATTATAAACACTAAGAAGGTCGTTACATTTTCGATTAAGCATTAAGTGGGACGATATTTTATCTATAAAAGCATACTTAATATAATTAGAAGATTAAAACATGTGCAAGATATCGAATCCACGTGTTGTCATAACAGTGAAGTATTTTAATGAATTATTTTTAATGGCAATCTCTTATCGATTATTTTGAGTGTACTATTATTTAAATATTCAAATAGACTAGAATTATCAAATGCTATCTGTTGCTAGCGACTTCTTCCGCCTACATAACCTACGTTAATGATAACGTAGCTTTTAATTGTGATTTTCTAAACCCAATAGTTTTTGAGTTATTTCAATACATACAAAAATACAAATCTCTTTTTAATATTATGTTTTAAGAGTGCATTAAGATATCACTTAGAATAGAACATTTTTTTTAGCGTTTATATAGTTAATTTCTAGATAAACAACATTATTAGATATTCCGTAAACTTGAAACTTGGAAGTGGTAGTATTAGGTACCAAATGATGGAAGTTCGTATCCTGTCTATAAGTTGACGGTCTTTGGTTACACAATAATATATTTTTAGTATAATACTTTGGTAATGTTAGGTACCAAATGATGGAAGTTCGTATCCTGTCTATAAGTTGACGGTCTTTGGTTACGCAATAATAAATTTCTAGTATAATACTTTGGTAATATTAGGTAACAAATTATGAAAGTTCGTGTAGTCCTGTCTATAAGTTGACGGTCTTTGGTTACGCAATAATAAATTTCTAGTATAATACTTTGGTAATATTAGGTACCAAATGATGGAAGTTCGTGTTGTCCTATCTATACATTGACGGTCTTTGGTTTCAAAATAATACTTTGCTTAGAACTAATACTTTATGTTATGAATTGAAACGATCGTTCTTTGGAATGGTGGTCTTGACTCACTCAGAGTTGTTTAAGTGAAGCCCTTAGTGTAGATTTGTTAGAAATCCACTGAAGTTAAACTGATATTTATATCACCAATTAAACTAATTCTTCTAGAATATTTAAGTCTGTAGATTTTGTTCGCTCTTCAATTCTAAAGCCCAGACGTGTTGGGGCCAGCCAGTTCTGCCTTTAGCCTTCTTTTCTACCAATGCACTGTTCTGAAACAAGATTTATATGTTAGAGTTTAAGAAAATTTTAGCAATTGGTATGAAAAAATTCTTACGATGAAGGAAAACATCGTGATGCACATATCGGCGGTGAAATTCAAAGATATGTGTGAAGTCAACCCGCAGTGCAGGTTGACTATGGCCTAGTCACCCTTACTTAGGGTTGGCTCCGAGCCCCTAAGTGGGGATGTATAGTGAGCTGGTGATGATGATGTAAAAATTGTAAAACATAAATATACCAAAAATTTAAAAATAAGATGTTTGTTTGTTAGAGTTTGCAGCCTAAACTGCTGAACGGATCTCGATGAAAATTAACATGTAGAGGATAGTCGGGAAGAACACATAGGCTTATGTTTATTTTAATTACACGCGGACGGAGTCGCAGACGAACGCTAGTAATAATATAACTAGTTAAATCATGCTTTTATGATTAAAAGTAAATAAATAAAATTAATCGATTAGATTCGTTAAAAATCGATTCATCAAAATCGTTTACATAATTACAATAGTGTTAAAATAGACATTTAAAATTAGAACGCTCAATGAACACGAATAATCTGTTACAAATAGAACTGGTGGGAAAGAAAACATAAAAAAAAAATTTTTTTCTTCATTCGTGTATCGAAACAGTCGGCGCATTGATTGCCAGCACGTGTATTCGAGTGGCTGAACAGAGTTCGAGCTTTTGCCTTTGACAAAAAACTGAACGGGCAAAAAACTTGCTCCTGTCCGATCGTTTTGACGTAACGCTTTTTTTTTATTTTACGCTACTTGACGGAAACGTATTTACGATCTACGTTCTAATCCAAACCTCATAGAAGAACCTCATACAAGACTAATTCAATTAAAAAGTTACCATTGAATAGACTCCGAAACTACAGAACCGAATTATAAAATTCTTTAGTCTTTCGCTTTGATTTCTATGAGCTTATATGGAGGTACACAACTCGATTCTTAGTCGTGCAACTAAACAGTTTGTCTGCAAAACAATCGACAATCGCAGTTGTGCTATAGTTTAGTAAATAGTGTGCCCGCTTTTAGGACGACAGCCCAGGACAATGTACAAATTAGGGCGTTACATCTCACGTATACCTGACTCTCAAGGCATAAAAAGGCCGTTGTGAAAACCGCCCAGGGCGTTTCGCTAAAACAGGCACTAAAGGTATTTAGGTTACTACCTGAATTTTTGTTTATATGATACCCGTGCTGTTTAACATCAGATGCTTGCTGTTTACAACATAATAATTTACGACTACACGCCGGGTTTTTTTTCTCGTTTTACAGGAAATTTCCTGTTACAACGGTTTTATTTGTAAATACGTGATCGAGTGATACGTGAATGGTTTTTTTAACAAAACTCCTGGCTGACAACCTCCAGTGACGTTAAAAAAAATTAACAAACTAGACAAATGACTGGCTGAAGATTTTATCATCGACGAACGAGTAGTTATTAATTGAAAAAAATGAAAACGCCATTCCTTATTTCCAAAAACTGGCTGAATATAAAATAACCATTGACAACAGAGAAAATAAAAAGACATAACTAAATGACATTTCTCGTAAACACTAGCTGAAAAGAACACATCCTTAAGGAAATTAAATTTAAAAACATTCGAGGAATGAATTCCAAACACGAGTATATATATTTTATTTCCCGCCATTACTTTGTTAATAACTCAATAAATACGCGCTAATCTTGTACAGACGCTCGGCTAATGTAATCGCGGACGCCACATGGCCCCACCGGAATGTTCTAGATCAGGGGTCGAGAACATTTTTATAATCCACTCAAGGAAATTAAACAAATCTTTTCTGCGCAATACATTAATAAATCTGTAAACTTTTATTTAAAAAAAGGTATACTAGCTTCCGCCTGCCATGTATAATAAAAAAAAAGTAAGTAGCCTATTTTTTTCCAAACTATTCTTTCAACAACAACACCTTTTCAACAAGATCCGATCAGCAGTTTACGCTAAAAACTCTAAGAAACATCCATCTAAATTTTCACATTTACAATAATAAGAAGCAAGATCAGGATTCACTGATGAGAGTAGTGTTTTTCGGGCGTATTTATATTTTTATGTATGTAACATAAGAGTGGATTTGTATGTACGTATATCCATTGTGCATAAACAATAAATGTCATTCTCCAAAAGAAGAATTTTATAAATACTAACATCAAAGTATCTATATTTGCCATACTTTGGCTACAATTACATATACCGGACCAAATGTTTACAACCTCTCTCTTAGAAATTAACGTACGAAATGAAAGCAGTACTGCATACGATGAAATTGGATGAAAATTACGAAAAGTTCTCTTAGAATCTTGCGTCTTATTGGTCTTTGCTATCGCTTTTACAGTTCTATGAAAGGATTCTTGACGTCGGGGGTAACAAAAATAAGTGAGTAGGCCATATTCAAGATTTGTCGTAATTTTCTTTTTTTTATAACATAAGGTGGCAAACGAGCAAGTGGCCACCTGAATCCGCCAAACTGGCGAAGTAACCGCTGCCCATAGACATCCGCAATTGCGGATGCGTTGCCTACCCTTCATTGACGGAGGAAGAGCTGCACATAAAGAGGATATTTCCCCTTGGTATGCGTCTCCTGCACCGTCAAATCCATTATAAAAAAAAGGCTGGGGAAGGAAATGGGTCTAAAGTTGGGCCTCCGGCACCACACTCATCAGACGAAACGCGGATTTTCTCTCAATTCACGCGTGTCTTCTATGTGGTCGTGGTATTATTGGGGGCGAGCCGGCCCTGCAGTGCTAAGATGTTAAAGCGGGCTCTATCACTGTAATTAGCACTTAACAGATGTATTTAAATTTCTTCACAGTTGAGACATAACGATGTTTTCCTTCACCGTAAGAAGGTCTTATAAATGTATAATTACGGATCGCAACACCGATGGTGTTACATTTACCCCCTATGTTTAATAGCGTGAAAATATATACTCTAAAGCGTGTTAAGTGTAGGCCTTTTTTATTATAGAAAGAATTATTCAAAAATATGCTGCGATTGCTGATATCCTACGCCATGAAGTAGTGTGTTTTTTTATATAATATGAGGTGGCAAAAGAGCAAGCAGCGAGAATCCACCGAAATGGAAAGCGACCACTGCCCATAGATATCCGCAATTGCAGAGGAGGAGACACACATTAAGAGAAGATTTCCCCTTCCTACGCGCCTCCTCCGCCTACAAATCCACTCTTCCTTCCTTGTCATCCATTCTTCTTAAGAAAAGGGTGTAAAGGGACAAAATTAGTAGCCCATGTGTTCTTCCAGACTATCCTCTACATCTATACCAAAATTTCATCGAGATCCGTTCAGCAGTTTAGGCTACAAACTCTAACAAACATCCATCTAAACTTTCGCATTTATAATATTAGTAAGAAGTAGTTATAGATTTATTTTAAGATATTGTAACGGTAGCTAATGTCCAAGTGGGTATCCATTAGTGAAGTTCTCAAGGGAAAATGATGTTATCTGTATTGCATGAGACTGGCGCCCGCTGTATCTCAAGTGTACTGCATTTGTTACTCAAGTATTCAATATCTCATGACGTAAAGAGTTACATCTATATCCATCTATACTATTATAATAAAGCGTAAACACACACTTCTTTGTTGCCTAAGATATCAGCAATTACAGCATATTTTTGAATAAATCTTTTTTTAATAAAAAGCCCTACACTTACGTCACGCTTTAGGCTATATCTTTTTACGTCATTAAACTTAGAGAGTAAATATTTTGGATATAAACTCTAATGTGGGAAAGAGACCATAAGTTGCTGCCAACATCAAGGAAGCAAGATTGCCAAGTTTTGTCATGATATGTCATTTTGACATTTGCAATTGACAATTTTATGTTGATGAAATCGCACGGGAACAGGTAGTTTATACAGATAACTGTTGCTGGTGACTTTGCCTGCGTGATATTAAAAAATAACAAAAAATATAGCCTATGTTACTCACTGATAACGTAGCTATTTAACTGTGAAAGAATTTTTTATATCAGCCCAGTAGTTTTTGAGTTATTTCAATACATAAAGAAATCCAAAAATACAAATCTTTCCTCTTTATAATATTAGTATATAAAATTGAAGTGTCTGTTTGTAACATTAAAAGAAATATTCCATATTTCGAAAAGGTTTATTTGCGTTGCTGATAACGAAAATCGCATTTGAAAAATGTTTGTCTGTCTGTCCGCAAGCCGCGTTTGTTCCGGGTAATCTCCGAAACGGCTGGGCCGATTTCGTCCGGACCTTCACTGGAGGGTAGCTGACTGACGGGCATATTATAGGCTACTTTTTAATCTTAACTCAAAGCAATATAGTGTTTATTACCTGTGTGTTAGGGTCTGTAGTTCTTCTTCTCGGTGGTGTATGGTGTAACTCAGCTCTGAAGCCGCCAGCCGGCTCGCCGTCGGTTTCCAGAACTTTCAGTAAATATGAAATGTATGAAGTCGCTAGTCGTAATGTTTTTATCTGTTGGAAGGTATTATATTTAGGAAATAAAAGAAAAAAACCCAAAAAAACAACTTATTAACTGTACATATGACACTTAAAAGAACCTGTAAATGACATCTCAAGCGTAAAAATCGGTTCAGTCGTTTAGGTTACAAGAATATCTTGTAATTTGTAATTGAATTCAACAATACAAGAAAATAAGAAGCCCAACCCTTGTTTCAAATATCATAGAGTAAAGGAATAAAACAGACAAAACTTGAATAAGACAATAATCGTCATAGATTAGACAGAAAACAGAGAATATAAGATGTTGACGTATCGAAATGTTCGATTTTCGTTCTATCATAGATTAGACAGAAAATAGAAGCGTCTAGATTTTAGGGTATCACTGACCTTGGTCATCTTTGTATCGGGTAGGACGCTTGGTATACGATCCCTGAGGTTTGAGAACGCAGTGTTGATGCTCTGCGATCTCTTTCGCACCATCTGGTACAAGTACAAGTTGAAATGAGACAGCATATATTACAAAAGGACTTATTTAAACACGTATAGAACAATATAATTATGTAACGTAACGCTTATAAACCGAATTAATTTAACTGAAATCTTACTATTAATGCTAGGGGAGTAGGTTAAAACGCGTAAATTAAAATTGCCTATTCTAAAAAGATACTCTCTGTTGTTTTTGGGATTTTCACCATCGCAAACTTAGGTATAGTTCGTATTTTTTCATTCTTCTAAGGATTGTATAATAGGTAACAAGATCAAACAATTTAGATAAAAAAACCGCCCAGGACACCTAATAAAAAGCAAAGCTATAGGTTCCCGAATTCTTACGTAACATTTGTAGTCCCCCTCTAATCAAAAACAAGACGCAGCCGTAGTAATCTTAACCAGTACAGCTAGCACCGGAACTACCTTGTGTAACCTAAAATGCTTGGCCGATTTTGACAACTGAGATGTGACGTGTTCTAAAAATTGTCATAGAGTACAGCAAGTTGTAGTTTTTTTACCACTTACCTTAGACAGTTTCGTATCAGGCGGAACATTTGGTATACATTCTCTGAGATCGGTGAATGCAGTGTTAATGCTCTGCGTTCGTCTCCTCTCTTTCTTATTCGCTGTTGTCCTTCTCTTGACAACTCTTACGAAAGAAGAGGGAGTCGGTCGTTCGTAGCGGAGAGGAAGGGATTGCATTTCACATTCCAAACCTGCGTACAAGGAGTTTTTATAAATTTTTTCTCATAATAATGTATTTTTTTTTATCTCTCATGTACTCAAGATGACGTCAATAAATGACGTAATAACTATAACTCACTCACCAGGGTTATTAGGTGCAAAGCCGTGATGCATCACATTATGATGATAGGTATCGTAGGGCTCATTCCCTGCTATCTGCATATCCTCGTAACCTGTTAGGTATAAAACAATAAGAAGTCGAATCTTTGATCAATGTTAAGAAAGATTTCTAATCTATGACATGTTTCACATCAAAGAGTATTCTACATATAGATGGGACACTATTGAACTGTCTACAACTTATTAAAAATAACAAGAGATACTATGCAACGTAATTCAACCTAATCACATCTGTCTGGCCATTTAAAAAGCTTGTAGTGGTTTTGAAATTAAATAACAATCTAGAAGTCTTCAATTTTGAAGGAATTTATCCATAAACAAAAACAACTTTCTTACTTAACAATCTAAGTATCACTTACCATATCCTCTGCCGATATAATTATTAGTGTCATGGTAAACATCCTGGGTGTCATACTCGTGACTTTCTCCATTAGAGTTAGCCCAGTACACGCCGCCGTCCATAGGGCTACCTAATAACAATAGTACTACTTTATTACTTTGAACTGGTTAATATAAACATAGCAGGTCACATCATCTATTTCCTTATTCTCTAGATTCTTCTAGGGTTGTAACGGAAGCCATTTTAACGGAAGCGGATGCGGATACGGAGGCGAAGGGTTTTAACTCTGAGGAAGCGGAGGTCAATAATAAAATATTAATTGCAATTTATTAAAGAAATAAAAACTAAAACTACGTTACTTCAAAATACAGATTGGTACATAATTACAAGATACAGTTTATTATGCAAATATAATGTATAACAATTATAATTAGTTGACATCCCGCCCGCGCGGGCGTAAACGGTACCTAATCGCACCACTCACATTAAAGACGTAAATTAACCTCTGTTATAACTCCGCATAAGAAATAACAGAAGCGGAAGCGGATGCGGAGTTAATATTTCTTGCGAAAGTTCCACACTTGCGTCCTTTCGAAGATGCTCAAGGTCTGTCTCCTCTCTTTATAACTTACACCTTGCTATATTTTGTGCAGCGACACGAACGGTTTTTCGAACGAAGACATTAGATAACAGTACATACCTTGATGTGTAGGCTGGCAGTAGAAAGGTGGCTCGTATCTATCGAAGCCTTCGTCTGACGGTGACATGCTGCCGTAACTCGACATCGGACCTGGTTATTCGAGGAAATAAACTTTCAAGCAAGCGGATCAGAAGACGAGCCACAAAATGTAGACAATTTAAAAATGTTTCTGGCTTTTCTGTCAATTTACTAGTTGATTTTGGATTTTAAAATCCGATTACTGATTTAAAGTATTTTTAACTCCTTATACAATTAATAAATTTTATCGAAAAATTTAAAAAATATTGCCAAGTTACTTACTAATAACGTAGCTTTTTAATAGTGAAAGAATTTTTGAAATCGGTCCAATAGTTTTCGAGTTACTTCAATATAAACAATACATTTTTTTTGCCTTTTTATAATATTAGTAAAGATTTATTTCGGTATTATTACAGTGAAAATACTTTATCCTTTAAAAAAAGACAGAGACAATAAAAAATACGGATTGAATCCTTACAATTTGCTTTTAAATGCCGAATGTTTTTTGTGCTTTTTTCGATCGGCATTTTTTTTCCGAAAAAATTCCGAATTCGATTTTTAAAAAATTTAAAACATATCATGACCAAGTACATGTTTATGTTCCGTGTTCCACATTGTACTGTCAATATAAACATACGACTTGTCTGTCAGAACGTGTGCACCACGTGTTTCACAATATCTTATCATTGTAACATATAATATAATAAAATAATAACTAAGGTTTTAGGAGCAACAAAATTACCCTTGAAAGTAAAATTTAGTCAAATTAAAACACAACCCACTATATTTTTTTTATAATCAATCGAAAGAAACATTTTCATGCTTTTAAACAATAGTTATTACCAAAGATATTTCAGTTTGTCAGGTAAATATCTATACTAATATTATAAAGAGGAAAGTTTTGTATTTTTGTATGTATTGAAATAACTCAAAAAGTAATTGGCCGATTTCAAAAAATCTTATACCATTAAATAATTAAGATATCAATGAGTAACATATGCTATATTTTTTTAATTGTTTTTTAATTTCACGTGGAAGAAGTCGCAAGCAACAACTAATTTTCATTAAAATTGAAAATTGGTACAGTTCCATATCAATACTGTACCCGCTAATAATTTTAAAAATAATAATCTAGTTAAAACTTGAATAAACTAAAAAAAATATTGCCGTTAGGTAAAAAATTATTTTTCTTATTCTTTGCCAATATCATAACAGATTTAATTTTATTTCGAAAAAGTTACGTTCTATTTGACAGATTTTTAAAATTCTTTCACCAATTGCTCTTTCATTATTAATTTACCTTTCTTAATAATAAAAATGATTTAATAAATTAACTTACCTAGGTTAATTTTGAAATATCGCACAATTAATAAATTTTATTCACAATATAAATAAACATTACAACACAATTATTTTTATTCTTTGCATAAAAAAACACTATTTTAAATCAACGGAATTTTTTTTAAACATCAAGACCTCTTTAGTCAAATTCACAAAATGGACGCCACTGGCAACTATAACTTTATTTTTAATTTATTAAAAATATTACAGAAACTGTCTACGACCGTCTGGTGTCCTGCCTTTTCGTAACTAAATCCTTATTCGTGCTATAACCCTGGATTGGATATTAGGGGCGGGATATACGGGAACGCCTTAATATCATAGCAAAAAGACTTATGCGACATCAAAGAATATTTTTATCAAAGATTAAAGATATACAAGTTTTTATGCCACACTCCATCTATCTTATTTATACTAATATTTTGAAGAGGAATGTATTTTTGTATGTATTGAAATAACTCAAGAACTAATGGGCCGATTTAAAAAATTCTTACTCCGTTAGAAAGGTAATTTATCTGTAACAGAGGTTTTTTTTTAAATTTTACGATATTTAAATATATACTAAAATTCAAAAATACAAATCTGTCATTATTATAGATTTACTAGTTCGCGCGCGACTCCGTCTTCGCGGAATTAAAAAAAAAATTGAGCAGCTTATGTGTTCTTCCAGACTATCCTCTACATCTATGCCAAGTTTCATCGAAATCAGTTCAGCCGTTAAGGCTACAAGCTCTAATAAACATCCATCTAAACTTTGGCATTTCCAATTTTACAACAAACAATTTTGGTGTTGTAATTTGAAAAATATTTGGTGTCGATCACATAAGACCTTTTCACGGTAGATTATCTCCGACCAATCGGGATACGTTTGTTATTGACTCCGCCCATTTACACTGGGTTCAGCTTTCTCTTTTCCTCTTACAGTATTAATAAAAGATGGAGAGAGGGGTCTTAATATAGGATTATTCCCAACCGTCACCTCACTCTGTCCCCACGTGAGAATGAAAATTTTCATCCGTTCCACCTTTTAGTCCCACCATCACCAATGAGGTGACAGAACCGTTAAGAAATAAAGTTCCAACCGTCACCTCGTCGCAAAAGGTGGGACGGATGAAACTTTTAGTTCTCGTCTGTACGTGGGGACAGAGCGGGGTGTCGGTTAAGAATAAGTTTAGGCTACGTAAGACAAGAAAGCAAAACAGGGCTCTATTTTTATAACACGTCTTGCAGGTTTTGTTTAAAATTTTGCTTGCTTTCATTTGTTTTCTATGCAATATGCAATTATTTACACTATAAGTCATGTTAATCAAATATTTAATTAGCGTAGCCTTTCACTGAACCTCAAAGAATATAATTTCATCTCTTTCGTTCTCTTAGAAGAGAACAAAGACAGTAATATTTTAATGTATACGTTTCAACAGTGAAAACCAACTTACTCAAACTATTACAATTGCTTTTAAAACGCATTATTTGTACAGCTTTTTCGGCCAATTTATTGTTGAAATTTGTATATAAATATGGTTTTAAATTTACAAATATTATATCTACATCATGAATCGAATTATATTAATATTTCTGACTTTGGTAAGTAATTCAAATATTTTAAATTGATAAAAATATCTTTCATTCTAATTTGTAACATTTTATATTTTATCTGTGACTATGCATTTTATTTTAATTTCAATTTTCGTTTTCTAATCTATGACAGATGTTTTTTTTTTAATTTCAATTTTATTTTAGGCACTGGTTGCCGTCGTAATGCCAAGTAAGTAAACCATTAACTATTTATTTTTAAAATTCTAATAAGTATTTAAAGAATCTATGCGAACTTGTGAATTATTACTTAATATTGGTTAATCTATACTACTATTGGAAAGATTTGGAAACTTTAATTTGTATATGTATTGAAATAACTCAAAAACTACTGGGCCAATTTTAAAAATTCCTTCATCCGTAATTTATCTGCGAGTACCATAGGCTACAATATATTTTTAAATTTCAAGTGAACCAAGTCACGAGCTACAAGTTAGTAAAAAATAATAACATAACCACTTTTACAGGTTGCATTAAAACTCCAAAAACAACAACAACGACGAAGAAACCAACCCCTTGCACGGATACAACGACAAAAACAACAACAACAAAGAAACCAACACCATGTACCGATAAAACAACAACAACCCCAAAACCAACAAAAACAACAAAGAAAACAACAACCACATCAACAACAAAGAAAACTACAACTAAACCATGCACAACACCAAAACCAACAGAACCACCTAGTTGCGAAAAATCTGAACCAAATCCTTACTGGGATGAAGTTAGCGCTGAGAGTGAAGCGGAAAGTTACGCTTCAAGCAATGGAGGCAGAGCTTCAGCATTTGCTAAAGCGGAAAGCAAAGCCAGTGGCAACGGGAGAAGTTCTGCGTACAGCTCTGCAGCTGCTTATAGTGACAGTTATGACGATTGATTTACGATCGCAAAATGTTTATAAACATTATTATAAACAATATTGATTGGTATTATTGTTTCATTAAAACCTTTTTAACAAACACAGCAATCTATACTCATCTATACTATTATAATAAAGCGTAAACACATACTTCTTTGTTGCCTAAGATGTCAGTAATCAGCATATTTTTGAATAACTCTTTTTTAAAAAAAAAGCCCTACACTTCTTCACGCTTTGGGCTATATATTTTCACGCTGTTAAACTTAAGGGGTAAATATTTTAGATAAAAACACTAATGTGGGAAAGGACAAGGACAAGGAAACAAGGTTGCTATGGTTTGACATCATGTCATGTCATTTCATTTTGAAATTTGCAATTGATAATTTGACAAATTTGAACAAAAAAATGAAATTTCATGCGGATGAAGTCGCACGGGAACAGTTAGTTTATAGTAATGAAGCGTAAACACAATATTTAGTTACGCAGGATGTCAGCAATCACAATATATTTTTTAATAATGCTTTCTATAATAAAAAGCCTTACACTTACACGCTTTAGGATACATATTTAGACGCTATTAAACATAGGGAGTAAATGATTCGGAAAAACCAGTCATACGGCAAAGGGACAAAAATTTAATGGGCTACAATTCTTCCATACATCATTTTTATATAAGTCTAATAGTTTAGGCTACGTAAGCAAAGACAGCAAAAATGACAATAAATTTTAGACTACAAACTCTAAAAAACATCCATCCATCTAAACATTCGCATTTATAATATTAGGATGATCTGAATGAAGCCGCACGGAAATAACTCGTAGTGGTCAAAAGTTGATACAGTTAAAACATTTGACATACTATTAAGTCAAAGAATATACATGTTCAAATAACACATAGCAATGTGAATTTTATCGAAATAAAAATATTAAGCAACCCTATCTATAGTAGATAATAATTATATTATAAAACCATCAACAGACCCCAAGCTTATCTTGTAATTACATTATTATCAACGTAACACAAAACCGCAATCAAATAGATTTCGCGCCATTATTTCCCTCCAAATATTTTGACAGCGTTACGCCATTTTGATAATTGAATTGTCATAGGGAGTTTGCACTAACCATAAATTTAACTATAGTTTAACCTTTAATTATCTATCTACGAGTATACTAATATAATAAAGCGTAAACACTGTCTCATGTCATGTCATGTCAGCAATACCAGCTTTAAATAATTCTTTCTTTAATAAAAAAGTCCTACACTTACGACA